GTGTCATTAAATCCCACCCATTCCCAGTGCCATTAAATCCCATCCATTCCCAGTGTCATTAAATCCCACCCATTCCCAGTGCCATTAAATCCCATTCCCATTCCCAGTGCCATTAAATCCCATCAGTGCCATTAAATCCCATCCATTCCCATTCCCAGTGCCATTAAATCCCATCAGTGCCATTAAATCCCATCAGTGCCATTAAATCCCATCCATTCCCATTCCCAGCCCCAGTGTCCAGCCTGGCCCTGGACACAGCTGTAGAATTCCAGCTGCAAACCAGTGTTGATGGCATTTAGGGAATCCCCCGGGGATTTTGGGCCCTTTGGCCCTCGTGCAGGAGTCTGAAGCCCGTCCCTGGATCCAGCAGGGAATCTTTGCCAGCCTGTGTGGGATCCCTCCAGTGCAGGGATCTGACCTCTGTGTCCCTTGGGGTTTTGGTGAGAGCTGCAGCTGGCAGAGGTGCAGAGAAAAGTTTTTGGAATCCAGGTTTGTTTTCAGAGTCAGGATTTGCTCCCCTTGTCTGGGACTGAAAATCCAGGCTCGGAGCCCCTCAGGACCCATAGCCAGGGCAGAGCAGGGGTGGCCTGGCCGTGGAGCTGCTCTGCAGCCTCGGGAGCGTGGGGGCTGCGGGATCCCCCAGCCCTGCCAGCTGCTGCTGGAATTCCTGGGAAAGGCCCCTGAGACTGGCTGAGCCCAGGGGACAGATGGGACAGGAGGGAATCCTTCGGAAATGACTTTGCAGGAATGTCTTCAGCAGTTTTGAAGGGAAGGGAGGAGGGAGGAGCAGGTGAAGCAATAATAAGATTTAAAGCAATCATGTCATGAATGAAAAATGAGGAATTTTGCTGACTGGAAAGGGTCACTTTATTGCTGTCGCTTCCATTTGCATGAAGGCAATTCCAAGGATTTTATAAAATACTTGTTGTTTTTAAAGCCCTCTGTGGGGGATGAAAGCCAGGAAATACCTGAGCAGCAGAGACAAGGGAAGAGAAGTCAATCTGAGGAATTTGTATTCCCATTTATCTCATTCAAGTCTGATAATGACTTCTTTCTTTTCAGCAGACAAGTGTGTTAGCTCTTGTCCGGGGGATGAAAACGATGAGCTGAGCATCAAAACCAAGAGAAATAAGTGAGTTCTGAGGTCTCCCTGTGTCTGCTAATGGTGGGAAGGGTTGGTACAAAGAGCTCACCATCCCCTGATATAAATCCAAGACCCACACACTAAAAAGAACCTGAAAAATAGAAAAGCCAAATCTGAGGCATCAGTGGATTATTACAGCTGTGCTGAATTGGATCCTTTAGTGATTTTTGGCATGAAAAATGACCCCTTGAAGGTCCCCCCTCCTTGGCAAGGGCTGTATGAAGCTGTCACTTGGAGTTCGGGTGTCAGGTCCCTCTGAAGGCCCCGAGTGACCGTCCTGCCTGGGCAGGAGCTGCTGCAGCCTGTTGGAAATGCAGGTGGGCTTGGGGAGAAATGCTGATGTGTGACTCAGCTCAGGATGAATGATTTCTTTATTATAACTATGCTATAACACATTAATATACCATTTAAAGGAGACACTAAAACTACAAACCGACTTTTTCTAACTCCCATATCTGACCAACTCCCAACTCGTGCCCCTCTCTGAGAGCCCAGCCCCAGGTGGGTTGGATTGGATTGGATTGGATTGGATTGGGTTGGATTGGATTGGATTGGATTGGGTTGGATTGGATTGGATTGGATTGGATTGGATTGGATTGGATTGGATTGGATTGGATTGGATTGGATTGGATTGGATTGGGTTGGATTGGATTGGATTGGTTTGGATTGGATTGGATTGGATTGGATTGGATTGGATTGGATTGGGTTGGACTGGATTGGCCACCAGGCTCCAACAACCCTCACCAGAACCCAACCAAGCACTCACCCCAGGTAAACAATTCTCCAAGCACATTCCACATGGGAAAACAAGGAGCAGAATCAGAAATTGTTTTCTCTTTCTTCCCTCTGTGCTCCTTGTGAGAACTCCTGAAATAGAAGAATGTGCAGTGCAGTGCCTCCAGCCCGGCTGCAGCTCGGGGCGCTCCCCAGCTGTGTGGCAGCTCCTGGGATGTCCCGGGGAGGATGGAAGGATCTCAGGATGCAATCCCCGTGCCTGGGGAGCGTGGCTGACCTCCTGCCTCTCTTGCCCTCACAGGACAGAGCAGTGCCAGGCTGCGGGCACGGCTGGCGCTGAGGAGGAGCAGGCAGGGGAGGAAGGCTCGGCCCCGCGGCTCTCCCCGCCCCTGGAGGAGAGGATCACGCACTTCAGGGACATGCTGCTGGAGAGGGGGGTGAGGACCAGCCCTGCTGGGGCTCAGCAGCTCCTGGAGCTGTGCCCTGGCTCTGGCTCAGCAGCCAGCAGCGCTGGGGCTCTGTCCCTGAGCCCTGCTGGCACTGCTGCTGCCGTGTCCCCCCGCCACCCTTGGGAATGGGGACCCTTCCAGACAAACCCAGGGACGTCCAGGGGCTCTCCCAGCACGGGCAGGGCTCAGGGGCACCTGGGGCTGCGGGCACTGACCTGTCCTGGCCAGCCCTGGGGTGTCCATCACCACAAACTCCAGCACTGGGGAGCCAGTGTCACTCACTGCCCATCCAAAATCGTGCAATCACCAGTGCTTTGGGTTGGAAGGATTCCAAATCCCACCCAGTGCCACCCCTGCCATGGCCCCACATCCCCAGGATCCAGCCTGGTTTGGGTTGGAAGGATCCCAAATCCCATCCAGTTCCACCCCAAATCCACCCAGTGCCACCCCAAATCCCACCCAGTGTCCCCCTGCCATGGCAGGGACACCTCCCACTGTCCCAGCTGCTCCAGCCCCAGTGTCCAGCCTGGCCTTGGGCACTGCCAGGGATCCAGGGGCAACCACAGCTGCTCTGGGCACCTGTGCCAGGGCTGCCCATCCTGCCAGGGAGTAATTCCCGCCCGATATTCCATCTAAATTTTACCTTTTTTCAATTTAGCCATACTTCAGCATTTCAGGGACTTACCATTCTCAAGAAAACCACCCTGTTCTGGAAGCCAGCAGATCCAAATTTCACATCTAGGCACCATCATCTCTCCTGAAATAATCCAGAATTACCTATATTTGCAAACATACCAAAAAAGAATTTAATTAAAAGCCATTTTTGGCATGTGGATTGCTAGTAAGGAACACAATTCAATTTCAGAGTGAGAAGGAAAGCATAGGAGCAAAATTCCTGAGGGGGAGAAAAGTAAGAAAACAATAAATAAAAAACCCCAGAACTTTTCCTAACCAAAATCTCCAGCTGCTCTGGGCACCTGTGCCAGGGCTGCCCACCCTGCCAGGGAACAATTCCCGATTCCCAAAATCCCATCTCCCCATCCTGTTGCAGCATAAAGCCATTAATGCTCCCCAGGCCCTTGGGAGGGATGTCTGGAGGTGGTTCCAGCTGTGCTGAGCTGCAGGCACAGGGAATGCTCTGGGCTGGGCTCCGTGGGCACAGGAGGTGTAAAATGAGCAGTGGGAGCAGATCCTCTGCCTCCCCCACTGCCACGGGTGCCCCGTGGAGGGAATGTCACTCCTGCAGGAAACACAGCCAAGGTGGCTCTTGTCAGGCACCAAAGCCTGTAAAATTTATCCCAGTAATCAGCAGGCTTTAAAGGGGGCTAATTAGAGCTTCAGCAGCTCAGCAATGAGTTATCCCCACGCCAGAGCTGCTTTATTAATGCTGCTCGTTATTTATGCTGCAGAAATGCAGAAGGGCCACGAAGGAGCCCTGGGTGAAGGCTTTGCTGCCAGATTGGAACTCGGGGGCAATAAGTCAGTGTTTGGAAGGATTAGGGGTGTTCTAGGACAGGATTCTCAGGTGTTTCTATGTAAGATTTGCTCCTAAAATAAAGAAATTTGGGAAATTCACTGTTTGGATTCGCTGATGTTTAAAAATAGGGAGAGAAGTTACTTTGCTTTTACCCTGACCATTTTCCAGCTGCCCAGCTCACAGCAGCTGCTCGGCGTGCCTGAAGCACAGGGAGACCATGAATGCCATTTAAATCTGATTATTTCATGACCATCCCCTGCCCTTTCCTCCTCAAGGAGTTGCTGGATGGGATCACAAAGAGCTCGAAGCAGATGGAGTTTGCCAGTGGAGTTCTGCAGCTTCCTACAGAAATTATGTCAAGAGAAGAATATTTATTGTAACACTTTAAAAATAGTGGGGCTTTGGGGGAGCTCCAAGATACAGGCATTCTTTATTCTCAAGTCTGGGGTGAGTTTTCCTCTATCAAAATGTAATCTGGATATTCTTCTGGAAGTTTCAGTTTCTACAAAATTCTAAGGGGAAGAGGAAAATTTAAGGTTCTTCCTGGCTCCCTCTCCCACCCTGCATCAAATATCCACATTCTAAGCCAGCATTTCCAGGAAATTCTTCTCCCTGCTGGGCTGCTCCCAAGGCTTCCATGGAGTGTTTTTTCTCAAGGTTTTCCCTTTTTAATCTCGGGGAGAAAGGGGGATTTGTGTGTGCAGTGTAGCTGGAGCGAAATCAGAAATACCAGGTTATTTTAGGTGATGTTTGCCAAATGTGCAGTGTAATAATTGCTAATCACAAAATCATCAGCTGGAATGATGATGTGATGAACTAGTCTGAGCTTAATTAGCCTTAGCTCAGGGTGGGATTTGTGCTGGGAGCAAAGCTGATGTCCAGGAGAGTGTGAAAGGCACCAGGAGAAGAGAATTCCTGGTGCTGCAACCCCCAGGGCTCAGGACAAGGCGGGGAGCTGGGGCTGTGGGACCCCAAAGGCACCCGAATTTAGGATTTTCCAGTGGCCTCAGATCCCAAAGGCAGCTGAATCTAGGATTTTCCAATGGCCTCACATCCCAAAGGCAACTGAATTTAGGATTTTCCAACGGCCTCACATCCCAAAGGCAACTGAATTTAGGATTTTCCAGTGGCCTCAGATCCCAAAGGCAACTGAATTTAGGATTTTCCAGTGGCCTCAGATCCCAAAGGCAGCTGAATTTAGGATTTTCCAACGGCCTCACATCCCAAAGGCAGCTGAATTTAGGATTTTCCAATGGTCTCATATCCCAAAGGCAGCCTGAACTTGTATCCCAATGCCCTCAGATCCCAAAGGCAGCCTGAATTTCGAATTTTACAGTGGATTCAGATCCCAAAGGCAGCCTGAATTTAGGATTTTCCAATGGCCTCACACCCCAAAGGCAGCCTGAGCTTTGCATTTTCCAATCTCAAGCCGCTCTCAGAGGAAAACGAGTCCACTTAAAGCCACTTTGCTTTATCAGAGCTTTCCTGCTGGAGTGTTAATTACTGTTTAATTCTACTTCACATCCTTTTTTTTTTATTTTTAGCGAATTCACTCCTTTGTAATTAGTTGGAGTGATTAGAATATTTTATTTCCTTCCGATTTTTCTGTCGCCAGTGAGTTAGCAGGGATGTTGTGGAAGCTTCTGAAGCAGTGGGATCGTCCCTGCCCAGGCAGGGGATGGATCTGGGTGGGCTTTGAGGTCCCTCCCAACCCAAAGGGCTCCGTGAGTGACTCCAGTGGCTGGATGTGACATCCCCACCCCAGTGCCTGTAGGGTGGGGCCTTGGGTATGTCACTGCCAGCTCTCCCTGTGCCTCAGCGGGGTCCCAGCTCCCCTCTGGAGCTGGAATTGTGCCTTTCACAAACAGCACCTGCTGCTGCAGGTTCTGAGGCAATACACGGGATAAATAACAGAAATAACTGCATATAAATAACAAAAAGACTGCACAGGCTGGGGTAGTTCTAGAGTGGGTGTGGATGGCAGTGATGGCACAAGTGAGATCCCTCTCATAAAAACTCCTGCACCAAGCCTCAGTCTGACCCACACCTTTATTCCCAAATGAGATC